AAGAAAAAGCATGTTGGGACAAGGAAAAAAAATTAAGTAGCAAAATAGACAAATAAGACAAAACTGGAAAAGGATTTGGAAAAGGATTAGTGAATATTTTGAAGCACAGATGCTTAAGAGACCTGGCTTACAAATAGGAGATGAATTCCCCAGCTAAACCTTTGAACGTCAGAGCAGGCAGGTAGGCGATTTAATTCATGTTTGGGCACTCAGCTTTTGATCTCAAATTCACACCTCTCATCTGCATCCCTGTTGCTGCTGGAGCACAAAAACCTTGCCTTCAGGAAGGGCTTCAGAATATTCCAAATAAACATGCTTGGTAGTATCCCTGCAAATGACTGCAATTCTGATTTTTATACCTACTTAAAAACAAACAAACAAACAAAACCAAAAAACCCCACAACCCACCAAAAAAACCCTGCAAAAATAAACAAACCCAAGAAGCTCACAGAATAAATTATAAAAACCTTTTTAAGAAAGTCAAGAAACCCTAAGAACAGGAAATGTTATTGGTAATAAGATCTTCCTGTATTTTAAAAGAGTCCTTTGACAGTGCTGTCTTTAACAACTGGAACTTTTTATACCTTGGCCTTCCCCAATTTCCTAGCATGCAGTGGAAGCCACTTTCTGTTATTGTTAGATGGGACAATGGAGCAGTCAGGGAAGGAGGGGAAGAAGAAAGCATGAAAAAAAGAAAAGTCAGAGTGAGCGATGAGGAAGAAGTTACTTTCATTTTTAGGAGAGCTTACTTTATTAACACAAGTTAAACCATACAGCTGCCCAGAAGAGCTGATCGTACTGTCAACCTTTGCTTTTATAATTGCACTGAAATCCTTCTGCGTTTTAGATGAAATTGATTTAAAACTACTTGAGTATCCTCACACTTCCAATTAGTACCACTGGTTTTGCCTCTGGTGTCCTTCAAATATTCATGGATGCCTGCTTATTCTGCCATCTCCTCAGTCTCCCTCCTGCCTCGCTGTCGTACCCTGCTACTACTCCTCTGTTTTTAATGCTAACCCTTCCATTTATAGTGCCAGCAGTGTAAGACGTTGACACAGAATTGTTAAAGATTATTTTTTTTCCAGACTCCCATGAATAATCGTGGATCTGCAGCATAGGAAAGTTGCTCTCTGTTAGATTTTCCTGTTAGATGTCATGGAAAGAAGGATTAAAATTCATTGGACATAGACAAAGAAAAACTTTGGATCTGCCCTAGAAAAGCATCTTTTGCATCCCCCAGAGGGGAGTTGCTTTTCTTTGTTTTGTTCTTTTTCAAAGCAGAGATCCCCTCCTTCACAGCGGGAATCCTGGAAATATTAAATTTGTGTTTGGGGGCAAAACTCAGCAACAGCAAAGCAGATAGAACAACTGCAATTTTATTTTCATCTTCTGGAAATAATCACAATGATTTTTTTTAATTTATTTTATTTTTTTTTCCTTCTCAGTTTACTCAATTCTCAATATCTACTGTATGTTCCTCAGGCTGCCTGAATCCCCTGCAGTCTTTTTTCTACCTTTCTAAAGAAATTGGGAGAAAGTAGGAGAAAGTCTTTCCAGGTTGAAAAAGTAGGCAGTGTTTTTGCACAAAGGAAGTTTAGGAAGTGACTTTAGCCTTTCACAAAGGGAAGTGATAGTTACAATGTCCTGAGCAGTGCTATGTAAACCAGTGCATTATCTCAGTGCCCATGTAAATACTGGGTTTAAAGAGCGTGAGATAGATATTTCAGGAACTAAGTAGGGTACTGACTTCAAAATTGCTGAAGACATTGAAACAAAATCACTTGCTCTCTAGGGCAAGTGCTGAAGGATCTGCGCTCGGTTTGCATAGAATAATGCAATTTGGGAAGAAATCCAATTACAGAGGTAATTATCACCTTGGATGAGTGATAACAACCAAATTTAAAGCAAGAGGCTACTGGAGGAAAGCCCAAGTCACCCACTAGCCCCAAAAGTTCACTTTGAGAGGTCCTAGCTGACAGCAAAAAGCCCGGGAGGAAAGATGCTGATTTGTGATTGTTGGCACGATATATTAGAGTTTAATGCTGTGCAAATTCCCGTTGCCTTCAAGAAGGTACAGGCGTAGCTTTGGTTTCTAACAATTGTGGAAGATTTTTAAAGTCCAAAATGAACTACCTGACTGAATTAATGAATTTCAGGTCAGAGGGTTTCTTTATAAACTGTCTGTATTACCTTCGGTTTTAAAAAATATTAAAATTATTTTTCACAATATCTGTAAAGATTTGGGGTTTTCTAGTAGTGTCTGAAAAGGTAAATCCTTTCTTGTCTCATGTCCTGATTCCTATGCTTTAGCTGCTGAAGCAGTTGTTACTGTTCTTGGAGTGGAGGGTAAAGCTGCAATGCAGCCTAGTTTTGTTTTGCTTGTGAGAGCTGTTTTGTTTCCTTCCCTTCTTCCCAGTCAGGCTGTGTTACTTGTCTCACAGTGTCCAGAAGCACTCATGATTTTCCCTGAGTGTTGCGTGCGGCTTAAAATGGGAGAGATACAGAGCCAGAGCTGCATACTGGCCAAAAGGATTCCTACTTATAGATAAGAATTTTCTGAAGTATTGCTTGATTGGTGTGGGTCTCATCTCAATATTCTTCAAGAACCGAAAAGCTGCGTAGTTTGGTAAAAGACTGGGGTAGAGAATAGGATTGACTTGTACCTCATAGTGTCAGGCTGATTTCAGAGTTACTGAAATAATGAGTCTCATAATCTTAAAACATACACATTTGGAAATCAGCAGCATTTTTCTGCTGAGAATAGAAAATTGATTGAATACCATAACCTAATCTTTATGCTTACTCTTGCATATGTTATAATTGCAGGTGGATGTATATCAGGGCAGACAAATTCTGACAACCTTTTTGACATAAAATCATCTTTATATTCTGAACTGTTTGGAAGGCCCTCCCCACCTTGCCATTTTCTATTGCATAGGAAATGAAAATTGCAGTTACAATAAACTGAGCCATGTAGAGGCAGGAAGATAAATAATACATCAAATAAGATGTTAATCAATGTGGATAATGAACTAATATTAATTACAAATAATTCTAATTAAGAATCCAACTGTACTTCTTGCAAAGCAAAGAACATGCTTTTTTAAAGCAAAAAATCAGTTGCTGGTAGGCAATAGAAGTAGAGCAATTCTGTTCCTCTTCTGTCTACTACATGGAAGCCTGTGTGCAATTTTTTCTGTTGGTCGATTTTCCACAGCTTTTTTTGAGGAGGCTATATAGAGTGGATGAAAAGGTTTTCTAATAGTGGGGACATCAGTGGCATCCTTCTCCCAGTTGGCTTCAGCATGAGCTTAGTCTCAGCTCAGGAACATCCAACCTTTTAAATAATTTTTATAATGACACACCAAATCCCGAGAGCCAATATTGAGATGAGGACATACAGACTCCCTGAGAGTCTCTGCTGTGCTTCAAAGACAACATTACCCTGGGTTTACACCATCCTTTTTCAGTTTTATTCCAAGTGTTTGAAAGTCTCCCATATAACTAACTTCTTTGGTGCAGTCTTCCTCGGGGCACATCTGAGTTCTCATAGTGAGTAGCTAAATTCAGGTTGAGTTGACTGGCCACCCATCAATAGGTGAAAATCTCAGCTATGCTCTGAGCTCCACCCTGGTGAGCCACACTCCAGCCAGTCCCACCTGGCCATGCCACCCTCTTCACGGCTCAACAAACAACACGATGAGGACCATGCCTGGGTGTCTCCCTCGGTTCCCACACCAGGAGAGGCAGTGCCTTGGCACTTTTCCCCTGCATTTGCAGGCTGTTGATCAGATGAGACTACCACTACAGGTAATCTTATGCTGACTGTTTTTTGGGGGCAAATGACCTTGTCTTGACTCATTTTCTGCTTTAACAGGATTTTCCAAGTAGGAATAATATTTACGTATCTGACTGATAGACTTTCTGCGAACGCTAGTATTTGAGGGCAAAACTTCTGAGTTTATTAATGAAATATCCTGAAATCCTAAAGTACAACTGCCAGAGCAGTATTTCATGGAAATTTGCATTTACTATAGCGTTTCTGTTAGCCAGGCTTTCAGTTGTACCCTGAAGACTTGGGAGATGGATGCTCGGGAGATGCTTTGGACTTCTAGTAGTGAATATCCCTGGTCACTACAATAACCACCCCCTTCTGTTGGACACATGCTTGCCTGCAGTGATTTACCCATTCCTCATTTTCAGACTTTATTAGTGTCTTTTGTTAGAAGTAGGAATGAAATCTCAATCCCAATCTAGCTTTCACTTTCAGTTGCTTTCTGGTTTGCAACCATTTCTCCAGTGATATTTATATTCCTCTGCTACAGTGGAAACACTGAGTAGGGAACGTGTCTGTCAGAAGGCAGGCAGGGTTACTGTCTGTTTGGACTAAGACCCTGTAATTTACTCTTTTTCAAGTTATAAAAACGACCAGGGACTCTCATTGCTGCCTAGCTAAATATGAAACTAAATAAAGTGATTTTTTTTTGGTTGTTTTTCCATAGATGTTATACAGCCACAGAAATATTTTCACATGAAGAAAACCGCTTGAGTCCTGCTGTTACCCTTAAGGCTTAGAAGGAAAGAAAGACTGATTTAATATTCTTTCTAATTCGCTCTTTTGGTGGCACCTGGCTGATGTGCTTCTTTAATCAGTTCAGTTATTTAAGTGCATAGTGTTGTGTATTACCACTGGTGCCAAAATCTGAATGGACTCTGCCCCACAAGAAGGAAAATGAGGCAGGAAGATTTTGAGGAAAAAAGGGAGGGAACACAGACACTTTTGGTTTGTGTGCTGAGAAGCTACAATATCAATAGCAATACTGAACTAACTATATATGCATACTTGGACTAAACATATGAAAAAATTAGAATGTGGACTGCATAATGATATAAACATAGAATGAGAAGATATGTTAAAAAGAAAATAAAAATGTGGTTTGGAGAGAATCTTATTTTTTAAAAAAAGAATTGGCTTTACAATGTGTCTTTATTTCCAGCACAAAAAGATCAGACCATTCCAACACCAGACTGGCGATTCAGATCGAGAAGGACGCAGGTATGGCCTGGGAGTTTGGTGTTCCGTTTGATTTGCAAAATGTGATGTATTTACACCATTGAGGCTTTGCCTGCAAAGCTGGAGAGATGCAAAGGGTTTAAACATGTGAACAAACCAGAGGGATTTAAATGTAGCAGAGCATTGGTTTAAGTCTTGTGACTTGTTAAGTAGATTCGCTCTTTATTTACATGTAGCTGGTTCGAGAGGCACTGGGCTGCAAATTGCTTGGTGCATCATACCATTGCTGTTTTTGCAGAGTACGCAGCAGAGCCCTTAGCTAGGCTCAGAGGTCAGCTGTGGGCAGGGAAAGGTTTTGGAAAAAAGCATCAGTGACCCTACTACTGAGCAGTTTGGTCTGACAGGTATCTCCTCTTCCCTGGAGAGAAGCCTTTTTGGAGAGGGGAAGGAAAAGGAAATGGGAAAAATTGGCAGGAATGGGTAAAAGAATCATAGAATCATAGAATCATAGTAGAGAAAATGATGGGATTCTTTAGGTATCAGTGAATCAAATGAGGTCCAATCCATGGCAATGCAAAGCACCTTCCTGGGCTGCAGGAAGCAGTTCCTGTGAAAGAAAGAACATTTTTTTTGACAAGTCAGTGGATGCAGAGAGCATGTGGTACCTTAGCTGACACGCTTCAGCACCTGACAGGATGGAGCCCTTTCCAAGGGAAAGCAGTACAAGTGCTTCATGCCAAATCCCAGACCCAGTGAGAGAGGCCAGGGTTTCATCAGTGGGTTTCTTCCACTTTAGAGTTCTGCGGCTGATTATATTTTACCACTGGGGTATCATGGGCTTCTGTTGTGGAGGTATAAGTTTATACTGTGATTATTGCTATTATGTTTTTATCCCACCCACTCCCCCTTTTTTTATCTTTATCCATTACATCAGTAGCATGAACAAATACACATCTTCAAGCAGACATAGGTGTAATCCAGGGTGTCCAAGAAGGTGAGAGAGGTGTTAGCAGTTTGAGGCATGTACAGTGCTCTTTCATTATTTATCAAGGCAGAGAGTTAAGATGTTTCCCAAGGCCCTTCTGTCATCTGACAGCAATAACCTTTAGCATTATTATGTATGCTAATAAGCTAATTATGATTTAAACCCTATAGTGCAAGTGAAACATTCTTTTTGTGTGTATGCTTACAAAATTTATTTTATGATTCGTTCAGATTTTGACCAAGTATATTCTAGAAGGGATATAGCTGAGTATGTCTATCTGTGCATACACATCTGCATGTACTCACATACCAGTGCTGGATGCATTATATCCATGACGATGAAAAGCAGCATAGTAATATGCTCACTCCTCTTCTTGTATTGAGGAGCTATTTGTAGCTTGTCATATGTATATCTTG